AGAAACTATTATTATAGAAATATTAAAGAAGGAATATATTAAAACCACCTAATAGAAACTCTTTTTACTAATCCCTTAATGATACACAAAAAAGATAGTTGCAAAAAAGTTTTATACTTTTTTACTAATAAAGTCTTATTTCTTTCCTTAAAACAACTAGAAAGATAATTTCAAAAGTTTTTTTCAACTCATATTTCTTGTTTATATTCCTTTTCAAACAAAAACTTGACTTCTGGTAACAAAGAAAAGTCAAGAAATATCTTTTTTATTTATAGCAAGAAAGTTTTAAAAAAAAAAAACCAATAATAAAGTACTGAAAGCCTATCTCTTAAAGCAAGAGTGCAGCTAGTGATTTTGTGCAGTGAATAGATGGACAAACAAAAGCCTAAACCTTAAAACTTTTCTTCACACTGTTTCTATCTTCTTAGAGTTACTTAATTTTTAAAGTTTTTGGAGAATTTTACCTACTCTAACTTGACCCTGAATTTTGGAGTGACACAAAATTGACATAGTTTTTGCTAAAGGTGATTGGTCAACACAAAAAATATTGATAACAAAATATAAACAAGCTTCTACTGATTACATCACATGTTCTAATGATATCATTGATAAAAAAAAAGAAAAATCATTGGTATGAATTTCTCCATTTTTTTAAATAAAGTATAACCGAAGCAAAGAAATTATGAGGCCATTAGGATAGGCATTAATTTCTAGATAGTGAAAAGGTGGTTATTTGTTCAAACTAAGGCCTTTAACTTCTTATTATTCTAGTCAGACAAAGTACACGAAAAAGTTAATTTTTTTATTCCAATCAGGTTATAAGTTTAAAAAGCAAAGAAATATAAACACTACCTTTCTCTAAGGTTAAGAATGCATTTTTTTAGACATTGTGTAATAATATTGCAATCAAGATAAATCCCAGTAAAATTTCTTTAACTAGATATGACTGTTGAAAGATATTGAAAGTTATTTAACAAGACTGAAAAGCCATATAAGAACTTGAAGTTTACTATTAATTATCTTCTTCTGTACAAATAGATACAAAATCAAGACTGAAAGAAAGGAAGTATTGGGCAAGACACTATATTCGAGTAGGCAATAAGTATCTTAGACGGTTACAAAAAAATAATCAAGAATATGGATGGATAAGTTCCTCAGATGGTCAGAAATAAGAAGAATATCTTAGAAGGGTTGACTTCTAATGAAAAAAGATTTTAAACAGAGGTTCTTTGGAGGACGTGGAGCACTTTTATTTTTATTTTTTTATTTTTTTTTTTCATATAGTGCACTTGTACAGTTTTAAATATTTCCTTTCTTTTATTTTTCCTTTTCCCTTTTGTAATTTTTCAAAAACAATTCCTTGAAGAATAATAAGCAGTAATAACCTACTAGCAATGATAGATAAATTAGAAAGGTTTTCATCCAAAATCTACTATAGAGTAAATATTGTTCCAAAGGCTGCACTTAGAGACTGAAACTCTTTTGAAAATTAAAAGTTATTGACAAGTGTGTCAGTACAAGTTTTTAGTTTAGCTATAATGCAATTGCCTTATATATCTCTATTAGTATTTATAATAATTAATAAATATACAGTACTGGCCTGACCATGGTTTTTAAAAAAAAAAATTAAAACCATCTAATAAAAATACTTCAATGCAATCTTGAATCCAAAAAAAAATTAATTTTCTATTTTGATGAATCACCAATTAATCATAAAAAATAAAAAATAAAAATGGAAGTTGCTTGAATTCATATAAAAAAAACAGAAATAGAAAGCAAGTTTCAAATAGAAGTAAAAAACTAGTCCTCATCTATAAGAATTGAATTAATAGTAATTGTAATGATACTTTTGATAGTTTCCATTAATAATATAGTTGAAATTTGTATAGATAACCAAGCTTATATTTCCAAATGGAAAACAATAAGAAAAGAGAATCCAAGGAGAATGTATAAGAGATAGTTAAAGGAGAAAAATTGATCTTTTTGAGTATTAATAGCAAAGTTAATAAAGAAAAAAGATATAGATCTAAAGCTCATCAAGATTAAGGCATACTCCAATAATTCTTATAATTAAGAAATAGATATCCTACTAAAGAAGTCTAAAACTTTTACTGATTGAATGGAAAAATCTCCTCTCATATAAAATTATTACAGAAATCAAATAGTAAGACAAGATTTTAAATAATTCAATCAGACAATTTGATAAAAATATTAGCAATAAAACAATAATCTATCAATGGACTTAGCAAAATAGAACAGAAAAAAATGAAGCTATCAAATTTCAAAACATAATTTCACACATAAAATCTGATATGAAAAAAAATTAAAAATAGGTATACATGAAATACATCTTTCAAGAAATCTTAACATAAAAGCTTTCTCATTAAACTGACCAATGATGAACTACCAACATTAAGTAAATTAGCTATAAAAAGATCTAATTTATATAAGCAAGTAAAATGTATTGTATATAATCAATAAAAAGAAACTATAAAACACTTGCTAAAATATTTAATATACAAGAATCAACTATAAGCAACATAGAATAAAGAAGTAGATAAAATTATTAAAAAATTTAAAAAGCTTCTGCAAAAAAAAAAAAGAGATTGCAAAGAAAAGTATTAGGCTGATCACTAATGATTGAGAAAAACTTAAAAAACTTGACAAGTGAATCTCTAGACTAGTGAAACAGACTTCTAAAACTAATCAAGATACTTTAAGTTTTTGCACTGACCTAATAAAAAGTAGTCTCATTTTAGAAATGGTAGACTTATGATTTTATGGAAAATGTGTAGGAAAAAAAGTGAGAAAATAGATGTTAAATATACAAAAAAGAGCTTACAATCAAGTCTGAAAAAGAATATGGAAAAAGAAATATAAAAAGATAATCAAATGAAAACAATTACAAGGAATTAGTAGAACAGATAAGATTAAAAGATCTTTAATTTATATAGACCAAAAAAACTATGCCTTTCAATAAAAGATAATTACTATTAGAAGAAGAAAATCTAGAAGATAATAAAAGCCTTTAAGAAATTTTAACAAAAAGAGTAAAATATAGGATGAAGTAATTGGATTTTGAGCTCTATTAAAATATTATAGAGTAATCTGTAATAGTAATCTACAGATAATAAAGTTAACAGTTGGAAGGGAATAATAAATCATTTTCAAAGTTGCATTTAGAATTTTGATAAATTTCAAAATATTGATGAGTGGATTAGGTAGAGATTTAGCTTTAACAATATATTTTTAATATAAAATATACAAAACATTTAATAAAGCACATATATCTAATCTAACAAAGGACTTAAAAAAAAAAATTAAATTAATTAAATATAAAAATATATTTAAGAAATTTTTAAATTTTCAAGTAGTTAAGTTTAAAACTATATATCAATAACAAGTTTTTTTTTTTTTTTTAATTGTTCAACTGACAGATATATTTTTATTGAGTTATTTAGTAATATATTGTAATATATTTTTTAATTATATAATCTTATTAACTACTTATTAATCTTTAAGCACATTAATTTTACTATAAAGTAATACTATTTTAGTTGGTTACCTTGTTTTGCCTAAATACTTAATATTTCAAAAAATTATTAAAGGACTTTCATATTCTTTAAGATGCTTATTGATGTATGTTTATTAAAGGATTTTTGTCTATATTCTAATTTATAAGTATTATGGTAAATTTATATCATATTTAATTCTTAGAAAGCTAATTTAACTTTGATATGTCTAGACCCTGCAGTTATGTACTAATATTACAAGTAATTCAATAATATTATATGCCTTAGATAATATGTAGTCTTTTATGCAAACTAATTTATAAAAATTTTTCTTAGACAAATAAAATTTTAGATATTTTTTAAATATATTTGTTTCTATAATTTTTAATATGGTGCTAATGATATTTATTAGTTTCACACAACAACTATCATTTTTGATAATTATTAATTTCATGACTGAGATGATTTCTTATTAATTGGAATTATGATTTGTTATATTTTTAACAAATATAAGTGATTAAAGTTGCTCTTATTTTTAATAGGATTTAGTTTTGACGAGAGATAAATTTAATCCTATATTCATTTGAGGCTTGAATTAATCCAAGTCTTTTCTAACTGATCTTGATATTTTCATATATTCTGGATAATAGGATTTTATGATTCCCTTGATACTAAAACTAACCAAGATTATATAATCTAATTTATTATAGTATGGTTGAATAATGTGATTTTATAGATTATTTTTATGTGCAAATATATATGTTACTAATTAGCATACAACTTGTACAATATAATCTATATTGCAATTGCTATTTTCAAGTGGGATTGAATCAATAACTCATAGATGGTGACCTGGGAGCATACCTACTATATTATTGATTTACAAGTTAATCAATAATAAATAATTTGTATATATATTAAGTTTTAATATCCTGTTATTATTTTTCTAATTAATAAAGATAACAAATTAATATAATTAGATTGCAATTCAAATAAAAACTTATCAATATTTTTAAAAATTTATACAATAAAAATAAATAAATAAATGAATAGTTTTAATAAATTTGATTAAGTTTAATAAAAAAAAATTCTAATATAGATTGAATTCAAAATTGTTATAGAATATTCTTTTATTTAATTGATTATTGATATTATTAAATCTTAATTCAATTAAGAACTTGTAATTATTTATAAGAAAAAACTATAATTCAAGAGATTGTAAGTATTGATGGTTAAAGTTATTATCAATTTAAAAATGCTATCGTAAATCAGGTGGACCATCTTAATAAGTTTTATACGATACGCAGTAACAGTAGTTACGATTTTACTGACAAGCTAAATATTCACATATAAGTGTAATACATAAATGCTATAATAGATATTGTCAAATAAACGAGGAAATATAAACCCCTATGTTTATTGCGAAATGAAAAAAAAAAAAAAAAATGAATAAATATACATAACTAATCTTTATATAATAAGAGATACTTACGATGTTGTTGGCGGTGGTAGCTTAAATGTGGGATTCGCCACTAACGGCACCTTACCAATCTCAGTCCACTTTAACACAGAGTATTGTTCTTCTTTTAGCGGAAGAATTTTGCCAGTTGCTGATATAAGTGAGTACGTGCTTTTTGTGGAATCCAGAGAAGACACAATCTCACTAGACGGAGATGTTTGATTTGTCGCATTGTCAATTACTTTTTTAATAAATTCACCGGAATGCTTGTACGCTATTTTGGCGGGTGTGCCGAAGCTAAATGTCTTTTTGTATATGTAGAATAATAATATATATATATTAAATGTGTTATTTTAAGCAGAGACCTAAAACCATAACTCACCTGGAACACATGGGGCATGTCTTGATAAATTTCCAATGTAACATTTGTTGGCGTCTTAAATAACAACCTCTTAGAATTTTTAAAATTATATGAAGGTAAATTGTATTTCTCCGGTTGGCTAGCTTTAAACGAAAAATAAATTGCTTCGTCTCGGAGTCTTTCTCCATCACCGGCTTGCTATACCAAAGAAAGCATGTAAATTTACATTTTTACCAAAATATCGCTATACGGTATTTCACGATGATACTCACTACTAGTATGGATGGTAACCCCGCTAAACTCGTGGCACATATCGGACTTACGTAAGGCACTGATAACGCCTCGTTAGGTGCGTACAACTGCACTCGCTTGTTACGATTAAATGAATTATCCCAAAATTGGAGTTTATTTTCCTTTTTAATGCGTCTCGACAAGGCTTCTGATTTACGATAAAAGCTATTTAAGGCGGGGGAGGATTTTTGGACCAAAAAACCATCGGGAATGAAATCGGTGAGATAGAAGAGGGGATCTTGATATGATGGCATACTGTTAGTTAGGTCCAACCACGGGGACTAAGTGAGATTAAAATTTTTTTAGAATCTGACGATTATTCTGATAAAAAAACCTTTCGAGTTTTGAATAAAAAAATAAAAAAATAAATAAAATGAACATTCACCCAGACAACTAATCCAGCGACCATTGGCAATCCAGTATCTCTGAGTGCTAATCCTAGAGCAACAGTTAAACCACCACCCGCACTATCACCCATTATAACAATTTGTTTAGGATCAATTGTTTCAAAACTAGCGTTTTCAGGCGGGTTTGTGAGATAGAGATAGGCGGCCAAGGCATCATGTAAGGCAGCTGGAAATTGGTTCTGGGGCGTTAGCCGGTAGTTTATTGCTTTTTTTTATAGAAATGAAATAAAATTTAATTAACTATTAGGGACAGAATGAAATACTTTATTTAAGCAGATAAAAACTACTGAAATGCAGATGCACGAGAATTATTAAAAATTTGCGCATCTTATTAATGCACCCACCAAACACCAAAGCATCAGCTTCCTTTGCAATCTTCGTGGTAACAGCTCGATAAGAATCTGCGTTACACGTCATATAGGCACCTCCGTGTAAGTAGAGGATTATTCTCTTATAATTCCTCTTAAATCCCCGTTCTCTTAGATAAATCCATTTAGCCTTCAACCATCTTTTACTGCCGACATCATTTTCTTCTTCCTGATCCATCTCATTTCCATCTTCCAACTCTTTCCACTCATTGTCCAACACGTGCTCGTATTCGCTCAAAATCTTTTCTAAATAAGGTTGAGCTTGTCTCCTATATTCATTAGAGATCACCACTTTGTCTTCGTTGAAATCTGCGGGTAACGGTACGACCATAAATGATTGTTGTTGAATGTCTTCTACTGTCTTATTTTTGCCATCTTGAATAAAAGACTTTATCAATGCGAACAGTAGATGGAACTGAAGATCCCAAGATGGTTTCGGAGGACCTTTCATATAATGGTTAATAATAGTAGAAACAATTACACTTGCTTTCAGAACCAATGACTTGAGCATATTTATCTTTTTATTTAAAGGTAAAAGTTTATAAATGGATTCTATATAGTAAAAGAACAAACTCTTATTCTGAAGTTGTACTAGATATCGGTTTATTTATAATAAATTCGTGTGCACTTCTTTCATATCAGATATGATCACATTTATTTTCTAGGCACATCTTTCGCATAATTTATTGACGTAATTTAGTAAAGTCCAATACTTTCTTTGAATTTCGTACAGTAGTTTGATACCCACGGAGATTAATTATAATTTCGTATAGACAGACGGTACTGCATTAGGAATAATTTAAAACACGCGAAAGTTTCGGTCGTAATAATAAAGCATTTATTGCATAACTGGTTATTTGGAATAATAAAAATTTCTCCTTTGCGTTTCTTTTATTATCTAAGTAAGAGATGATGCGAAAATTCGTCTTGTCTTATACGTGAAAATGATCTCAAGATCATCACAGAATTAATAAACTCAAAGAAGACGTGTTTGTTGCGAAATTGTTCAGATACTGTAATTGGATGTTCTGTTAAAAAATATCTTAGCCGGTTGATTACTCCAAAAGAAAGAATAGTGGGATAAGTGAGGCTAACCGTTTAAAGTATCTTCAAAAATACAGTGATTGGACTGTAAATGTACAAATGAGTCTTGCATGAGCATTGACTCAAAGGGAAAGATTAGAGTTTGATGTTGCATGTCAGTCAATTTAGGATACATAATTACATCATTTGATTCGTACTTCGTCTCGGATGTTATTTTATCCAATAATGTCGATTACCGAAGAAGGGATATCACAAGCGTAAACTTGTGAAATTAAATCCGAGCCTGCAGTGGTCATCGAAAGATACTGTATTAAAAAAACAATAATTTATAACATATCGTAAATTATATAAAAATTCCTTTCTTTAAATGCCCAATTTTTTTAAATTATGATTTAAATTACTAATTGAAATACTTTTATAAAATTTATTAATATATAGTATTGTTTGTTATATTAAATATCTTTAAAAATTATATTTATAATATAAACTTATATATTGAAGATTTATTAAGGTGGATTATAATTTATATAATAAATTCAATATTAATTTCAAAATTAAAACTTGATTTAATGTAAATTTTTTTTTTTAATTGTCTTAACTAATGGACATGGATTTTTATTGAGTCATAGTAGGCCTTTTTTAATTACATGAGCTATTTATCTAACCTGTTTAGCCATACTAAATCTAATTCTATATTTCGATCCAATCAATTTTATAATATTTGATATTATTTTATCAGTTACCTTGCTCTGTCTAGGTATCTAATGTTTTGAAAATCCACTGAGAGACTTTTATTGATATTAAATGAAAAGCTTTATAGTATATGTTCCTTAGATAATAAAGTTGTTCATATTGTCATGGGTATTGTGATAGATCTTTTACCATATTAAGTTTTGAGGAGGCTGGTTGTATTCTGATTGTACAAGGCCAATAGTATGTGTTAATATTTCGACAATTCAATAGTATTTCCCAATAATCAATATGTAGTCTTCTATTATATTATTCTTAACCACTCTTCAAATATGATCTTTTAAGGATATTCCTTGATCAAACAAGACCTTGTGACTTCTCTCAAACACGTTTACCCCTGTGATTCCTATTGTAATGCTACTGCACAATCACTAATTGGGGTAATAGCTATTCTCTCTAGTAGCTATTGATTCAGCAATCATATTATCTCCTATATTGTATTTCAATCCATACTAGTTATCTTTTCAATTGATATTAATGATCTAAGTTTCTCATTTCTCCTAGAGGATATTTTTTGAAAAGTTGTAGATTTTCCATATATTCGTTAGTAATCTTAGACCAATCAGAATCTTTCTTAACTTGCTTGATATCTTTTCATATTCTAAGTGACAAAGATCTTCTTTTTTCTGATACTAAAACTGACCAGGACCTGTGTGACTTGATTTATTATACTGTAGTTGACTAGTGAGTTTCTAAACTAATATCTTACAGATGATAACCTGGAAATACACCCACTACACTATTGATCCACAGGTCTAATTTTTTTAATAATTTACAATTATATTATTATAACATTTTTTTTAACCCACAATCATATCACAATAGCTTGTCTTTATTGAAAAATTAAAGCAAATCTACAATAATTTATAAACTTTTACAAAGTGACCAACTTGTCTTTATATATAAGTACTCTAAGTCTGATTTTGGGAACAATATTATACTTTTATGATAGATAATAATAATTTCTATCGATCAGGATTATTATCAACAGTTAGTTATTATTGATTGTCCAAAAACCAATAAATTGTTAAATTAAAAAAAAAAAAAAAAAATGATTGGAGAAAGAGACAATTCAAGGCCTAACAAAAAAATCTAAAAAAATAAAAACAATCTCTTCTCAAAAAGAATCTATTTAATTGAAATAGTTTTTTTACTTCACTTGAACCTTAGAAGAAATCTTTTTTTTTATCACTTGTGGCATCAGACGAGTCAATCCAACTGATCTTTCATTTAAATGAGCACCAGACTGGAATATCTCATGAAAAGTATTTAAATCTCTGCTTTTTTTCATTAAAGCTTTATTATTACTTAAGAAACCTAGGTAAAAGATGAAAATTTGCAATCCACATTACTTATCACTTGATTTTTTAATGTCATGAAGTTTTCATTAAGAGACTTGAGCTTTTGAGGACAGATATTTCCAAAACTTTTTTTCCAATTACCAATAATATTATCAGAACATGTGAATGTGATCAATAGGAGCTTATTTATATTCAAAAACTAACATGTTTTGTGTTAAACAATCATCTTTGGTGAGAATTTTGCTACCCAAAGTTTAGGGTTAAATTGAAGTAAGCAAAATTTTCCAGAAAACATGAAAGTGGAATTTTTAAGAGGACCAAGACAATCAAAAAGGAAGAAAATAAATCTTTTTACTGCAAAAAAACCTCTATAAATTTCTTGTTTCAAAGATTAAATAGGCCTTCAAATACTTAATAGTCAGTTATTCTTCCTTTGGAAACTTTCTTGCTATTGGTATCAAAGATGTTATTTGACTTTTCTTGGTTATTAGAAATCAAGTTTTTGAATAAAAAGGTTTATAAATAAAGAAAAAAGAGTAAATGCAACTTTTGAAATTATATTTCATATTGTTTTAAGGAAAATATTAAAACTTTATTAGCAAAGAAGAATAAAAACTTCTTACAAATATCTTTTTTATGTGTGATCAAATGATTAGTGATTAAATATGCATTTTCTATATTGTTATAATATATTTTCTTTTATATATTAATTTTTACATTATAATTAATTTATTATTATATATTATTAGTTAAAAACTATACTATAACCTATAAATCAATGATATAGTAATTAATTAGTATTTCACAAATTATATCACAAAATATAAGTTCAAGTTTTCTAAAGAAGTAATCTAAAGTTAATATTATCTATATCTATTAACTTAACTAAATATATTTAATATTTTCAAATATAATTGTCATTATCTGAATTTAAAAATCTAATGTTAACCAGTGATATAGTCTATATAAAATTATGATCTGAAATCAGTTAGAATTATTTTAAATTAATTATATTATTTTTAATAATAAATTAAAAATAATAATAATAAAATTAGAACAATTAATCTATAAAGTGTTTCTAACTTTCAAGTACTAAACTATTTTATATTTTCTCAAAATTAATATTAATAAAAAACCTTGATGGAAAAAAAAATTTGCAGATTAATTTGAAGAACTAAAATCTGATCTAGAATATTGTATTAAATAATTTTATAATAAATTTATATTTAATAAAAATGTATTAGAAAAATTAAAAATGAAATCATGCAAATTTTAAAAAAATAATGCTTATTTTTTTTTTTTTAATTCACAATCATATAATTAAGACATATCTTATTGAGATATTAAAAAATATCTACAATATGTATAAACTTCTACTTAATGGTCAACTCATTTTTTTTTTAAACTATAGTCAGGTCAGCATAGTATGTTTATTAATTATAAATAACAAAATTGCTTGCAATACATTGGACAAATATATTATGGCTAAACTAAATTTCATATTGATTTACTTGTCATAAGCTATCAATTTTCAAATAAGCTTTAATCTCTAAATGTAATCTTGAAAACAATATTTTACTCTAGGATAAGTTTCAAGTAAAAACTTTTTCAACTTATTATTGCTAGCAGGTTGCTGCTGTCAATTATTCTTCAAGAAACTAATTTTTGGAAAAAAATAAAATATAATTGTTTCATATTCTCCAAAGAATCTCCACTAAAAACCTTATCTCATTAGAAATCAACTCTTCTAAAATATTCTTCTTTTTTCTGATCATCTGAGAAACTTATCTATTCATGATCTTAATTATTTTCTTGTGACCATTTGAATTACTTATTGTCTACTTGAATCTAACATTTTGCTTATTACTTTCTTTCTTTTGATATTAATTTTTTATCTATCTGCGTAGACCTTAACAGCTTATAGTGAACTCCAGATTCTTATATGACCTTTTGATTATATTGTATAATCACTTATATCTTTTAATAGTCATGCCTAATTAAAGAATTTTTACTGATATATATTTTTTATTTTCAAAAAGTTATTTCTCAAAAATATTTTTACCTTATAATAATGGAAGAATTCTAGAAAAGTAGTAAAGATTCTCATTAATTAATATCATTATACAATATCTGAAGAAATGCATTCTCAATTCTAAAAAAAAATAGTGGCTTATAGTCTTCTGCTTTTCATTCTCATCACCTGACCAGAATAAGGAAATAATCTTCTTTGTATACTTAGCCTGATCAGAATAATAAGAAGTTAAAGACCTTGATTTGAACAAATAATTATCTTTTTATTACCTAAGGAATTTGTTGTCCATGTTAATTATTTCATGATCTTTTTGTTTCAATTACA